CACGCCCCTCCCTGGGCCTATTTTGACAGGCTTTAGAATCCTCCTAACAGGGCTTATCAGAGAAGATTCCAATTTACAGCAGCAAAAGTCTAGTGTCTGATATCAGTTCTGGCTTTTCTTTTTTTCTAAAAGGAGACATGATGTTTTACAGCGTTAACAGTTTTGAAAGATCCTACATTGCCAGTGAACAGAGCACTTTTGTGAAAAGGACTCTGAAAAGCGTTATTCAGGCGAAAATGCATCAGAGGAACGGGAGTTAAAAAAAGGAACGTTTGCCGATGTAGAGATTGGAGGTAGCATGTGCTGGCAGGTGCAATTATAGCCAAATAATTGGCACTTTTAAGAGAGATCTCGAGAGATAACGCAATGGTTGTGGACATCTTGGGGTCCAGCTGTGGATGGTATGACCAGTGTAGCAGTATCAATCTACTTTATACACAGGGCATAAACAGGGAGATTGTAAAATAGGGTGAAATGGAGTGATTTTGGCCCAGCAGACCTCAATTGGTTAAAAAAAAATCTGGAGAGAAAGCTTGGTGGTCTGAATTATCCCTGAGACTCCCCAGGGGCTTCAACTTCACTCGGCGCCCAGAAATGGTCATCAACCCAGCTTCTGGGTCCTTCGGTCTAAAGAAACTAAAGACAATGTACATTCTCCTGAGTTAGTAAGTTGCTTTTATTTCTGACATTAAAAATGTTTGCTCTTCATTTGGATTATTTCTAGACACTTTGACTTCCTTTGTCTACAACGTGTCTTAGCCAAAGACAGTGAAAGAGAAGCATGTGGAGTTTATTTTTGAGAATGTTCCACCAAAGTCATAAAAGATAATAACCTTGGTCCTGGTCTTGAATTATGGGAGTGTGAAGCTGTGGCCCCATGACAAGTGAGGTTACTGCACACACTGCAGTCATTCTTTGGGAATCTCAGGGTCTGTGTGAAGATGGAGCTGTGAATAGGGTGTGAACTCGCAAAATAAGTGTTTCAGCTTAAGCAGTGCAAAGGGGATCCCTAACACTCCATCAGTAATTCTGCTTCAGGCTTTTGTTCTTAATGAAACAATATAACTTATTCTATACTGTGTGATTTTTTTTCCTTCCAAATTTATAATTTCTTTTATTCTCTTCCACGTATGGATTGGTTACTTAGTCATTATAAACCTGTTAAAGGTTCTTAGGTTGGCTAGTGAGTTACAGTTTTATAATGACACCTTAACTGAAAATCCAAGTGATAACTTTTTCTACTGTAGAGAACTGATTCCTTAATGTCTTTGGAGGGCTAATGTTTTCCTTCCTCTGGCCTTAACTGCTGATTTTTTGCTTGAACGTTTATGAATACACTTTAGGACTGCATATGTATGTACATAGATGTTAGACTGTCATCTGCATCAGCCTTTTTCAGATACTTAACAAACTCAAAAGTAAATCTCGTGTTGCACCAAGAATCTACCACCACTGTGCTCGTGACCTCTTTTCTTCCATAACATAGTGAAAACTCACTATAATTGTAATTTTAGTTTCTGCTCACCTTGTTTATTTATACCATGACGTAATAACATCTTGAGCCTTTTCATCGAGTTTGACATCCGGTCTAATTTGAAATTATAGTACTTACATGATGGAGATATTCAGAGTTTTCCATGGTGGACCTCTTGATTTTAATTCCATGCAGGCTGGATGAGCTCTTAAAAAATTGCTGACAAGAGTGTGTCTCGAGATTCCATTCCTTGCATTGAAGTACTAGACTTATTACTGAATTAAATGTACATGAAAGAGTAATTAGCTACCTATTTACTTTCAGTCATTATCTCTCATTGTTCTCCAGGATCAAGATATAATTTTAGTGAAATTAAACTTTAGCAGCACAAAATTACATGATCACATTCAGTTTTATCTTTTATTAATGTTTTAAAAAAAGTTGACACATAGTTATTATATCTATGGGGTATAGTGTGGCATTCCAATATATGAATACAGTATTAATGACAAGATCAGAGCAGTGGCATATTTATTACCTTAGACATATATCCTTTCTTTGCATTAGGAACATTAAAAATCATGTCTATCAGCTATTTCGAAATAGTCAACTGTTGTTAACCATAGTTATCCTATTGTGCTGAGGAGTGGTAGAAGTTATTTCTCCTATCCACCTGCACCCTGTACCCATTCTCCCTCCACCCTTCCCTCGCCCACACCTTTCCTGGGCTCAGTAACCACTACTCTGTTCTTTACGTCTTTGTGATCAACATTTTGGCTTCCACATGGAAGCAAAATCATGCATGACATTTTCTGTACATGACATTTCATTGAACATAATGTCCTCCTGTCCACCCATATTATTGTAAATGACAGAGGCTTTTATTCTTTTTTATGGCTGAGTAATATGCCATTGTGTTTATATCCCATTTTCTGTATCCATTCTTCCACTGCTGGATACCTCAGTAGCTTCCATAGCTTGGCTTCTGTGAATAGTTCAGCCTGAGTTTTAAGTGCTATTTAATTGCTTGAAGTCTCCCAGGAGAGCTTCTAGCACTATCAGTTAGGAAATGCAGCTCAACCATGGCTGTCTCATTGTCATCTGGAGACCTTAAAAAGAAGTGATCCGGTCTGTTTTGCAGAGCTTGATTGAATGACTTGGTCTTAGATGGGGGTCTCATCATTTGGGATTTTTTAAAAAGACCCCCAGGTGATTTGAAGAGCTGAGAATCAGAGTAGCAGGAAGAGCCTTGGGTCATACTTACTACATTTTTACTTGCATTGCAAGCTTGGTTAGACTGTCTCCCTACAGCCTATTTCATGACCAGCCCCCACCCATTTCTCATTTATGCCATATCACCAAATAAAAAGAGAGAGCAGAACAAACATAACTTTAGAGTCAGAAGAATTTGATTTTAAATTTTGCCTCTGTCTTTTACTAAAAGTGTGATTGTCCCTTGGAAAAACTTAAAAGTGTCATGAATTTTAGTTACTCCATTTGTCACATGGGAATAAAAGGCTTCCTTGTAAATGAAGATTAAATTATTGTGATATGATAGCATTTAATACAGACTCAGTACTTAATAGGAGTCAGCATAAGTTCTCTCCCCTCCTTTTTCACTTCATCTTAGGTAAAATGAAGGACATGGATAAAATTTAAATACCATTTATGTCCCAAAATCCCATGAATATGATTTTCTGCCTTAAACAATTTGATTGGAGAATAACCGCCACATGTTCTTTTCTACAAAGTCAGTTTATGTGCAAAGAAGGAGGCCATTTTCATGGAGTTGACAGAGGATGCATTTGGACTTTCTTGAATATCTTCTCCACATATTCTCATGTGACTACCCTTTCAATCTGATGTGTCTCTCAGGGGGCTGGCCAAGACTGGGGATATAGGTAGAGTTGTGGGAACAGGATTTTCTGATTGAAGGATGCCATTTGTTTGATGTGGGCATCAATCTGTGCCCTTGACCATCAGTCAGTTGCTTCGATCATATGACCATCCAAACCTACTTTATATTTGTGGCAATGGTGATAATACCTGATGTTTATGTTACAGCACCTATTTTAATTGATATACTTCAGAGGAGCACAGGTGAAATCACTAACATGTTTCAATTACTACCTGGCTAATTAGCTTTTGTCAAGAAAATAAAATGTTGCTGCATCTCAATCTATTCCCAGGGGAATTCATTCCGAGATAGTTTGGCATCAGGGAACAGTTCATTACTCACACCAATGACTCAGACACATCCTTGTCCTTTGCCCACGTAGCCAGCTCTGAATGGACACTCAAGCCAATGAGAGAGGCTTAAAGCTTCTGTGATCACTAGTTCAGGCTAACCAAAGCAGAGAACTGGGAGAATCTTCCAAAGAACTGTCTCGCAGCAGTTACTTGTGTTAGAGCAATTGCGGGAAAAGCCACTTGATGGTGACAATGTGATTCTCTTCTGTTTCCCAGTGCCTTGAAATGTACCATGGATGCAGTGGAGCATAACGGTTAAAAGCAAGAGTTTGAACATCTTGACAGCCAATCCAATTGTTGAATTCATCACTGTTAGGGCAAAGTTACAACAAATTTAAATGCCCTAGCTGGCTTTGATTCATGATTCTAGAATCAAACAGCCCTCAGAACAGACTGCATTCAAAGCAGTCTGGGGCTGCATTGTGATCAGATAGCGCTTATGGACAGAAAACAGAAGTGACAGACAGCGTAGTTGGTTACAGCTGGGCATTTTGCCTTACTTGAATCAACTGGCCAAATACGAATGAAGCTCAGCTACTATGATTAACTAAGATGGCTATGTGTTACCAGAGTATACTCCTCATTAGGCATTCAGTTATTTTATATACTAAGTTAGATTGCAATTTGTTACCCAAGTACTCGAGTATAGAGGCATCCTGAGGCCCAAATTTAATTTAGTTTAACAAGAATCAGCTGTAGATACTGTAGATTAAACTTTTTCTGTAAAAGGCCAGTAGTAATGACTTTAGGATTTTCATGCCACATGATCTCACTTACATCTACTTCACTCTGCAGTTGTGGCCAAAAGTGGCCTTAGACAAAATGTAAATGAATGGGCATGGCTGTGTTCCAATAAAACATTACTTACAAAAACAGACATGGGTCAGATTCGAGCTGTGCCTGTAGTTGACCTACCTCTGATCTACAGGGGATTTTAACTAGTAAATTACTTCAGTTCTCTAAGATTGTCTTGAGTATTAAAACACATTATGTATACCGTAAGATATTACAATGTGCTTAGCTAATAGCAAGTACTTGAAAATAATTGCTTTGATTTTATTAAAAAATACCATATATCATAAAATTTAAGTGCTATTGAATGTAAGATGCATCTGAATCTCAGAAATGCTAAAGTTCGATTAAAAAGCCTAGAATTGATGAGATATGGTAACAGTAATTTTACTGCCGAGGTATATTGAGGAGTTTAAGCCTTACTCTTTCAGTGACAGTGTAAACCTTCTTGTTTAACGTGACACTGTGATGTGTTCCTTGTCAGAGACACATGCCATGAACTTCTGGGACACGTCCCCCTACTGGCGGATCCTAAGTTTGCTCAGTTTTCACAAGAAATAGGACTGGCGTCTCTGGGAGCATCAGATGAAGATGTTCAGAAACTGGCCACGGTGAGTTCATTTGCAACTTAAAAAATGTTCTAATTATGTCTATTTGTAGGGTAAAGAAAGCTTCAGAGTTATTTTTGCTGTAGTTTATTTTTGTATCATCTGATACTTTGTATTTTCATGTTAATGTGATATTAATACAAAGAGAAGATATTCAGTGCAGCTCATTGATACAATTCTAAGAATATTACTTTCTTTCCTTTCTTTTTTTGACATAATGTTTTTAATTTACATTTTAGTCAAGGCTTAATTCTCCACTAGGTAAAGAGTTCATCAAGTAAAAAGTATAGGCAATGGCTATAAACAATAATCAAATAAAAAGATGGTCATTTCACTTATATAGAGTAAATTTTAAAATAATCACAGATCAATAAGACTATAGTAGTATGAATTATAGACAAATGTTCTGGAGAGAGTAGGCTAATCCTCCCCTTTCCCATTTGTGTTCTTTGGAAGCAAAGTGAATTCTTGACTTGCTGGCCACAAAAATATTTTTATTTTATCCTTCTCATTCAGGGTCAGCTAGATAGTAAATATTTCAGGTTCTCCAATCATAAGATATTTTTCTAAATTACTCCACTTCACTACTGTGGTACAAAAGCAACCACAGGAGATACAGAAATGAATGAATGTGGCTGCACTTCCATAAAACTTTATTTACAAAAGATGGTAGTGGGTCAGACTTGGTGTGTGTGTTATAGTTTGCTGACACTGTAGAAATATTAGTAATAGTAAAAGGTATATATTTATGATAAAGTAGGGTTTGTACTAGTTATCTGTTTGACTGGTTGAGGTGATTGTAGCCACATATAAGAATCTCAAGCTCAGCAGTTCTTCTAAGATCAAAACAGACAAGGACTTACTAGATGCAATGGAATCAGCAAGATTTTCCTGAAAACAAGCAGTATGAGAGGAAAGATGTGACTCTGGCTGCTACCTTTAAGATGCTGAAGAGCAAGTTCACATGCCTTACCTTAGCCACCTTCAGAAGAGTCCAGTAAAGGAAAAAGCAATCTCACTTTCCTATAGGCACCAGCCTGTTAGCCTAAATGAGCAAGGTGACCAGAAGAACAAGAGATCTTAAACTGTCTGCATTTTTCATAGCTACACACAGCAGCTTTCCAATATGTAGCAATATTCTTTCGTACCCCCAAGAAATAAGTTTTATCCTGGATTTCTTAGAACATTCAGTGCTGTTAGCATCTTTTCTATGTCTTACTTTTAATAGAAATATGAGAACTGAGAAATGTTTCTCTACTGAAGGAGCAGCAGTGGTGCAGGAGCCATCCAGGTGGCAAGGACTCTGTTGGTGGGGACGGCAGTGACCTCAGGAGAACCTGACTCTTGTGTGGCAGGAGGCTGCTCCTCAGCCCCCAGTGATGGTTGTCAGTGTGGACATGGTGTTTTGTATTGCCATATCTTCCAAATACTTGAGAAAGATTGGTTATCAAGATTTCTAAATAGAATTGAGTTAGTTAAGAATTTTGGCTCATTAAAAATCCCACCAATATGAGCTGAGGAAAATATATTTGTAGACTGAATCTGGATCTTGACTTCCAATTTGTAACCTCTACTGTAAGAATTACGTATATTTTTTAGAGTTTTTTTTTTTTTTTATTTGAAAGGTAGAGTTATAGTGAGAGGGAGACAGAGAGAAAGGTCTTCCATCTGCTGGTTCAATCCCCAAATGGCTGCAATGGTAGGAGCTGAACCAATCCAAAGCCAGGAGCCAGGAGCTTCTTCCAAGTCTCCCATGTGGGTGCAGGGGCCCAAGGCCTTGGGCCATCTTCTGCTGCTTTCTCAGGCCATAAGCAGAGAGCTGGATGGGAAGAGGAGCAGCCGGGACACGAACCTTTGCCCAGAGGGGATGCCGGTGCCGCAGGTGGAGGCTTAGCCTCCTACGCCACAGTGCCAGCCTCAGGAATTACATTTTATGTGTATGAGTTACCTAGTCCTATATGATACATTATCCCAAAACTTAGTGGCTTAAAACAACAAACATTTATTTGTCTCACAATTTATATGGTTGGGAATTTGAAAGCTGCTTAAAGTGTTTTTGTTGTTTTTTATTTTTCCCCCAAAGAAATCTTTTATTTAAGGCAACAGACTTCATGCATTTCATAAAGTATAGCCTTCGGAATATAGTGATTCTTCCCACCATACCCGCTCTCCCACCCACACTCCCACCCGTCGTCCTCCTCTCTCTCCCATTCCCGGTCCCCTTCTCCACTAAGATCCATTTTCAATTAACTTTATACACAGAAGACCAACTTTGTATTAAGTAAAGAGTGAAACAATTTACATGAAAAAAACCCAAAAGACTGTTCCTCAACAGTTGAGACAAGGGGGCTGTTCAAAGTCACTGCATTGAGTGAGTGGTTTAGACACAGAGACTCTCATGAGTTTGCAGTCAAGATGTCAGCCGGGCCTGTGGTTGGTTAAAGTTTGGGACTCTGCTTCCAAGACAGCTCACTCACGTGGTTATTGGCGGGAGGCCCTAGTTCCTCACCATGTGGGCCCCCCCATAGGCTACTTGAGTGGTGTTTATGATTTGGTTACTGGCTTCCCCTATAGAAAATGATGAGAGAGAAGGAGAGAGATAGGGGCATGGGGGGTGGGAGAGAGAGAGAGAGAGAAGAGCAGAGGCAGAGAGAGAGAGAAGGAAGAGATTTTGCCTTTTGTGACTTCATCAATGACTGTAAACATACTCTATCCATTAGAGGGGACTCGCTCCAGACCATACTCAAAGGGAGAGGAATTATCTTCTGCCTTTTGGAAAAAGGAATGTCAAAGTATTTGTGGACATATTTGAAAACCACCACACCATGAGTCCTATTATTCAGTTCTCAAACCTTGGCTCTGGCTTTAAAGCCCGTGTTTTGGAAACCTCTCTGTGCTTTCAAATTACCCTGGAAATTGTCTGGCTTTATTATAGCACTGTGTCAGCACTATGCAACTTGTTCCTTTGACCAGAGATGAAAATACTGCTTACTCATCTGACTCTCAACAGTTGCAAACCAACATTCAACTCTGCCAGGCTCTGGGACTGCCTCTGTGTGCCTGCCCGTGAGTGCAGTGTGGAGGTACATCTAACCAAGGAGAAGGGATAGGCAGGAGTTAATGAATGAGCATTGCTGGGGTCTGAGTACAGTTTGTTCCCTCTGAAAGTCAGGTTGAAATTTCATTGGTATTTTGCAGTGTTTGCAGGTGGGGCCTTAAAGAGGGCATCAGGTCCTTGAGAGGGATTACTGCGTTCTTGTGGGCCAGGGCTAATTCTTGCAGGGCTGGGTTGGTTACTGTGAGAGCAGGTTCTTAGGGTGTGAGGCCCTCACGTATTGCCACTTCTGTATCACCTGGTCGCCCTTCCACTGCCCACTGTGAGTGGAGGCAGCGCAAGGCCCTCGCTGGCCCCATGCTCTTGGACAACCTCCAAAACCATGAGCCACGAAAATCCTCCTTCATTATAAATTACCCAGGCTCAGGTATTCCCTTACAGCCACAGGGAATGGGCTGTGGCATGGATGTGGGGAATTCTTATGAGTGCTCTTATTCCTTTTTAATGGCACGAATGCAGTTTTATTGTCCTTCAGTTTTACACTCTGTACCAGGTGATGATCCGTGAATTCCATCATTCAGACTGTTTTTAAGGAATAGGATGTACTTCTCACATTTTGGAACATTACAGCTCAGAGGGATAAAAGTAAGGTTTTCCACAGGAAAGACAGTTTGTGCTGAGCCTCAAAGACGAGAAAGCATTAGTCACGTTGTGAAGAGGGCAAGGAGGAACAGATGACAGTTTCTGTCAGAGTCAGACATTTCTCTGGTTTGGCAAAACCGGGTTCCTTTCTGGAGCTCTCAGGGGGAATGTGCTTTTTTCAGCTTCCACTGCCCACATTCCCAGCTCAAGACCCCCCTTCCTGTGTCTTTAAAGCCAGCAATGTTGCGTCTCTAATGTTTCTTCTGTCTTCACATCTCTAAGGATGGCTGGGAAATGTTCTTTTCTTCTAAGTGTTTATGTGATGAGATCGGACCCACCTGGATGATTCTTGCTACTCTTCCCATTTCCAAATCTTTACCCTTAACAAATGCAAAGGGAATTTATTCATATAAGTTGTTGGGATTAGGGCATGTACATCTTTGGGGACCATTATTCTTCATTTCTACTTTTCTTCTTGCAAGCAAAACCCCTAATGATTGTTCCTTGAAATCTATTTTACTAGAGCCAGCAACTTGGTAGGATGATTTTTTTAAGGAGCTTAAAAATTTATTTATTTGAAACACACATGAATCTTCCATCTGGTGGTTTATTCTCCAAATGCCCACAGTAGTCAGGGATGGATCAGACTGAAGCCAGGAATTGAGAACTGTGAGTGGGTTTCCCCACTGGGTGGCAGGGACTAAAGTACTTGAGCCATTATCTGCTGCCTCCCGGGGTGCATATGATCAGAAATCTGGATTTGGATGTGGAGCCAGGACTTGAACCAAGCACTCCAATATGGCATGTGATCAACTCTAGGGATGTCTTAACCACTGGGTCAAATGCCTGTCCTCTTTAAGCACTTATGTTCCTTAATGTGATTCCAATATCTTTGACTTTGGATTGCCTTAGTTCCAAGAGATGAAACACTCTATCTGGTAAAGATCAATAGGTGATTAGTCATGTTTTCCTCTTTGCTTCCTCTTCCCTCTTTTTTTGGTGTCTTTCCTGGAATATGTTTACTTTTCTGCGAAGACCAACTCAAAGTAACACTCCGAAATGGCAAAGCAATCCTAGATACCATGAGGTAGGGTTAATGAAAAGACAAAGAGGTAAGACTGGCTTCAATGAACTCAGAATCCAGTACACAAAAATAGAGAAAACTGGAGTCTATATCATTTTTTATTTGTATCTATGAACAGATATATAAGGGAAGGGGATTTAAGGGGAGTTTTCCCAGCATATGTGAGTTTTGATTTCCGTGTTGGAGAATGGCATGCCGAACTGGGGGCAAGAGCCGGAAGAG